ATAGCCCAATTCAAAAAATCAGAAAGCAACAAATGTTGTCCTAGGGGGTCTTCTCACTCACCGGAATCCCTCCACTAGTCCTCCTGGACAACAGACCCACCATGCGTGAAAGAGCTCTCAGTATGTGCTGCTTCCCTGGCTGCCATCTTGACCAGAATGTCCAAAAATCCATTTTTAAAGCCAGTATTTATCACTGTGTGGTATGCGTAACCTTGGTTAAGTTAAATACAATTAAATCCAACAATATTATCTTGGGGGAAAAAACAAACAAAAATAAATAAAAATAAAAATAAATATTATCTTGGTACCTTCTTGTCTGTAAGAAGTTGCTGGTTTTAGGAGGAAAAGGTAGTATCTTTTTCGAGGATTTTTGACATAAATATTCAGCAAATATTTGTAGTAGGTATTTGTAGCGAAGGTATTTCCACTGTGCAGACGAATAAAAGGGTCGTTGACTCGACGCAGTCATTTCATAAAAGGACACTTGAAGAGAGACTCGCAATGTGAGTAGGAGTCTTCAAGACTGATAAGAGGGAAAGAGCAATCTAGGAAGAGGAAACAGCAAATGCAAGGGGACAGAAGCATAAAGTGGCTTTTGTAATATGTGGTATTTGTAAGTAAGCAGGCATCCATGATTGGTGCAAACAGCTAACTTCTCAACTACTAACTGAAAGATAGGTGATCTCAATTTACCCATCAGCACCTCAGAAGAAAGGCCTGGCAGTCTACTTCTGAAGACCATAGCCACCATTGAAACCAAGTAGAGCACAGTTCAAGTCTGACAGGGATTGCTATGGGCTGGGACTGACTCCATGGCGACTCCTTCAAATGAACAGTAGGTGATGGCTTAGGAGCAAGACCAGTGACCATCAGCCAGTATTTGAGGATGTTATCCTCTAAGACATTGGAGGCCACTGAGGGAGAGCTATGACCTGATTTTGCTTGAACAAGATCATCTGCGGATGTTGTGTACAACATATGCAGTGGCATGGAATACAGACAATTTCAACATCTCAAAGAACTGGCAAACTAGGGGAATGGTGACAGGCCTGGGGCTGGAGTTTAGAAACAGAATCAGCAGCTTTAGGGATGTGTCATGACTGAGAAGGAAGGCTCACGGATCATTTTTAGGATTTGAGCTTGACTGAGTGGGTTAATGAGATATGAGAATCAAGGAAGAAGATGGCAAATCAATTTTGTTTCAGACAACTAAAGCTTGGTATAATTATGACATATTCAGTTACAGTTTCCCAATAGGTAATATGTCAAATATCTCTAACACTCTGGAATCTGAGCTGGAGGTAGTTTTGGAATTATCTACAGGTTATAAATGAATGCATAGAAAGCATTTCAAATTATAGCCTGTTATATAGTAAATATTATTGTTATGATTATATTGAGATTATCATTATCTTTATCCACCTACAGGTGATAGCAAAAATCCTCAGGACTGCATGTAAATACCCACGATAAGCAAGGAGGTAAGCAGGCAAGAAGAAAAGATTGCCCAAAGCAGACTCTGAGGAAACTGTGAAGTTTCTGTTAGCTGAAGTCAGTTCACCTTGACTTTCAGATAGAGGTCTTAGTCGGAGGAAAGAAGATGTAGGAGATAAAAAAGTCAGAGAAAACTCAAAAGCCAATTCACTGCCATCAAGGCCCTTCTGACTGACTGCAACACTCTAGGAAAGAATATGCCTGTCCCTTTGGTCACAGAGACTGCCACGGCTTAGGGGAACAGAAAGTCACATTGTTCTCCTTCAAGGTAGCTGGGGAGCTTTAACTGCTGACCCTGACGGTGCAGTTAGCAGCCTACCGCGTAACCCACCAGGGAGTCTGGGAAGTTCATTTTTAAAGCGAAGAAAAAGAGAATTAAAGAGAGGTGTGGTCTGTGTCTCAAAGTGTCACGGAACTCTAGTGTCTGTTTCAAGGCAGAAACATTGTCTTTTCTTTCACCTTTCTTTCCTTTTTAGAGCCCCTCGTATAGAGCTTTCCACAGAAGTCAAATGGTGGATGTATAGCTTTATCTTCCCTAAAAATTCTCTATTGAGAACTTTTGGTGTCCAGGAGAGTAGTAAAGGAACAAGGAGGTTCAAATGCAGTGATGTGTTTGTTGCAGCCAGATTTTATCAGCGTGTGAGAATCCATTACAAATTTGTCAGAGATTTTCGGACTTGTTTTTAAATATAGCCACTCTTAAACACTAAGTCTCAAAAGCAAATAATTTTATACTAAAGACAAAGTTGTTAAGTACTTAAAACTCATTGTTTCCTAATTATCTTACTACATTTTACTGTTCTCTGTATTCTTACGCCTATTATGTCTCTCGTATGGGAGAAAGTCGACCTCGTGGTGTACTATTGAGAATCTCTTCTCCACTCTGTCATCAATGGGATGATGGTGTTGTTGTTAGGTGCCAGCAAGTTGGCTCTAACTCCTAGCAACCCCATGTACAACGGAAGTAAGCCACTTGGCCCTGTGCCATCCTCACAATTGTTATTTTTTAGTGTGTCATTGCATCTATCATTGCATACACTGTATCAGTCCATCTGTCTTCCTCTTTTTCATTACCCCTGTTTGTTACCAAGCTGATGTATTTTCCCAGGAACTGGTCTCTTCTGATAACAGGTACTTTGTACAAAGTCTCACCATTAAGGGGGCTTTAGGGAGACTTCCTGGTTTCTAAGGAGACTTCTTTTGCACTTCTTCCAGCACAGCTCTGTTTGTTCTTTTAGCGATCCATGGTACTTTCAATATTCTTTGCCAAAACCATAGTTTAAATGCATCAATTGTTTATGATGGGAAAAATCACACCGGTAAAATTGGTAAGTTCTGCAAATACTCTTTCTTTCCTCAGCAGAACTAGTTGTTAAGCCAGTAAAGCTAGTCGAAGGGCAACTATTGAGGCAAGAGTTGTAATCTGTTCCCCCTTTCTCCCTCACCTTCCTTCCACCCTCCCGGTATCACCATTCTCACCACTAGTCCTGAGGGGTTCATCTGTCCTGGATTCCCTGTTTCTAGTTCCTATCTATACCAGTGTACATCCTCTGGTCCAGTGGGATTTGTAAAGCAGAATTGGGATCATGAGAGTGGGCAGGGAGGAAGCATTTAAAAACTAGAGGAAAGTTGTATGTTTCATCATTGCTACACTGCGCCCTGACTGGCTCGTCTCCTCCCCACGACCCTTCTGTAAGGAGATGTCCAGTTGCCTACAGATGGGCTTTGGGTCTCCACTCTGCACTCCGCCTTTCACAATGATATTTTTTTTTTCTTTGATGCCTGATACCTGATCCCTTCGACACCTCATGATCATACAGGCTGGTATGCTTCTTCCATGCAGGCTTTGTGGCGTCTCAGCTAGATGGCCACTTGTTTATCTTCAAGCCTTTAAAACCCTAGACTCTATATCTTTTGATAGCTGGGCACCATTAGCTTTCTTTACCACATTTGCTTATGCACCCACTTTGTCTTCAGTGATCATGTCGGGACAGGCTGGTGTGCTTTTTCCATGTGGCCTTTGTTGTTTTAATGAATGATTGGTGTATTTTTTATTCTTTTCATCTTTCTTTGCCAACCATCCTCTTTTTTCTTTAGCCTAAGAATGCAAGTTGGTTTAATATTGTAAAATCAATCTAAATGGCCAATTTGTTAAATCAGAAAATAAAAATAATATAATCCATTCTATTAGATATAATAAAGGCATCTGACAAAGTCAATATCTATTCTTGATTAAAAATTCTAAGTAAGGAATATCACCAACCTACTATACATATTTGTTAATAAGTATAGGTAACATAATACTTTTTTTTTACTTCCTTATAAGAATACTTCAACAAATAAAATAATAAAAAGTTTGTGAAATTTTAATAAAGGACTGGTTTGGTAGTATAGGGCTTGCAGATTTAAAAAGGCAGGAATCTATTCTGGTAGATTACCTTTCTGAATCCTATCCACTGTAATCATTCGCAGAACAAAATGCAACATATACCACTAAACTGAGTTAAATTGGGTTACTGCCACATTTAACCATTTTTAAATACATTTCCTTTAGTCAATGATGATGCATAGGAAGCAAAGCAGTACATGATAGAAAACTGTGAAAACACTGGATAAAATTTGAAAGTGTGAGGTACTGTTGTGGTTATGTAAATCATTGTCAGGAAAAAGGAAGTCATGGAAATTTCCGCGTTGAAGCTTGTCCTCTGTTTTGTTGTTTGGCACTTCATTTGACAGTTCTGTGGGGAGGGGAATCTTCTCACAATGGTTTATGAGAATGTTAAGCCTATAAAGATCCAAGATTTTGTGAACATTTTGCATCGGGATACTACCAGAAAGGTTGAAGGTTCTAGTCTACCCACAGCACTGCAGAGGAAAGGGTTCATCTATCTGCATAATGATTATAGCCACAAAATTCTAAAGAGCTCACTTCAAATTTTTAGCAATGCATGGTCTTGCCAAGACTCAGAATCACCTTGACAGGAATAGTTTTGATTTTGCTTGTTGTTCCCGTTGTTGTTGTTAAGTCTACACAACCCAGGTACCAGAAAGACAATTTAATCCTAAAACTTTAAAATACAGTTATTTTTGATCAGCTATTTAGGGTGTCATCTCTAAAGAAGTGGAGATAATTAAATCTCTAATTTTGCAGATTAGTTATTTCTGTACAGACAGGAGCTGTACATTGCATCTGTCTTGCTCGCCTAAATACCATCTATGCCTTTTCCAGAGCCTGGCTGGAGAAAGTTACAATGAGGAAATTATCTGGGGTTTTTTTGTTGTTTTTTTGTTTTTCGGTCATATAGCAACCTTTATTGCCCCACCCACAGAGCACACAGGAGGGGCCACAACAGCTAGAGCAGCCCCTGCCCAAGCCACCCAGACATGGGTGGAAAGCAGGCCCCTGTCCGGTGCTGGAGGGACAGAGGCCAGGGGAGAGAGGTGATGGGACCAGGTGAGGTGAGTGCATGCGTAGCAGGCTGGGGGCCGCTGAGGAGCGCCTGTTCTCACTCCTTCTTGTCGCTGGGCCCATCAACCGCCATCTGCAGTCTGGCATGTTCCTCCAGCAGGCGGTCATACTCCTTGGTCAGGCCCTCTGACTGCTTCCGCATGGCCAAGGCCTCATTCTCCGCCTTCTCCAGCTTTTGCTTGCTGTTGGCCAGCTCCTCCCTCAGCTTCTTCAGCTCAGCCTTCAGACTCTTATTCTCTTCCTCCACCTTCACCTCAGCTTCCCTAAGGCGCAACTTGCCTCGCTCAACACCAGCTTCCTTTTTCAGCTGCTCGTTCTCCTCCATGTACTTCTTGGCCGCTTCACTGGCGCTCTCTGCCTGCTTTTTAATGGCTTCATTGGAGGCCAGCAGGGTGGCCTGCTGGGAGATGAGAGTCACCAGGCGTCGAAGCAGGAAGCACAGCAGCAAGGCGAAGCCAGCGATGGAGAGGTTCCTCTGAGCACGGAACAGCTTCATGTGGAAACGCTCCTTGGCGCCAGGGTTGTTCTGGAGGCTCACCTTCTCCGTTACGTCGTCATACTTCCAGATCTCCCGGCCAGCATCCACAAACAGAAGTACGAGAATGACAATGAGAAACACAAAGAAGGTGTTGCCGTACGTCACTACCAACTCCACCAGGCGTGACTTGAAGATCTTCTGCCACCTTTTCGGGGGGATGCAGGGGATGCAGAGCAGCAGCACGACGAAGACCTCGGCGTACAGGAAGGTGGCCACGGAGGTCCACTGCAGACTCATCGTGGCTGCGCGGCCTAGCTGTCGCTGTCTCCTCAGAGGTACACGCACCTCCGCCAAACTCTCCCACCACAGCCACAGGCCCCGCCCCTTCCCCTGCAGCCGGAAGCAGCCCACGGCCACGCCCCTCCCTGCCCGCCCACCAACCGCCGCCAAGCCCCGGCGGC